TAAATAAAATACACTTTAAATTTAATTAGTAGCTTTCTATAATATTATATATTTTTCATTAAATATATTATTGATGATATTAAATATCAAAGTAAAATAAAGAACTTTTATACTGAGATATACTCAGTTAAAAGCTGTTGTCAACAATTTAAAAATGAATTGATTGATTTTAAATATAAATAATAACACAATCTGAGTTTATTGAGAGGTTTAAAAAAGCAAGAAAATAATGAAAAATGATAAAAATCGAAAATTCTCAACTACCGACAAAAAATCAAAGTATTTAAATAACCAATCTTTATTATATATTAAAGTAGTAATAATACTGAGAAATTATGATTAATGAGAAAAAGATTTCTGAAGTCCAGTGCTTGTATGGAACCTATTATATAAAAGATAATAGGAATATTAATGTATGAATAATTTAGTTCTTGTAGTTAATATCATTGAAAATCAGTTTTAAGAATCTTTACTATCAAAAGATGCCACAATGACATGCTTACTTATTCTAATTTTTCTTTGCTTTAATACAAGAAGTTGGTTAACTATTTTCTCCTGTATTGACATTAACCAATATGCTGTTTTCAAGGTTATCATGTCCATCTTTTTATATCCATATACTTTATTTTTCTTTATTATTCATTAATTATTTTAATAATAAACATCAATCACTTCATATTTAATCTCAAAGGCAAAATTAAACTTACTATTTCTCAGCAACAGCTAAGGTTGACTCTATATTTTTTTATCGCTTAATCTTAACCAAGTGCCATTTTTTGAATTTTGATCATCTATAATAAATTTTGCTTCCCCATCCTTTTAAACATATGAAATTATGCAATGAATTTAAGATAATAACTAATGAATAGGATATCCAATAAATTAATAATGAGTTCTTTTTAAATCCCTTCCTATAGACCAAGTTTCACCTATTTTAAGTTGAACTTATTTAATATCAATTAATTCTTTATCAAATGCAAGCGTTAATACTCCCTCATTTTCATTAATCTCTAAAATCTAAAATGCTTATTTGTCTCCAATATAAAATACCATGCCTTTTGTTAATCTCATTTTATAAGCATTTAAAAAAGTTCCTCTTTTAGATCCTAAATCCTATAAATGAAACCTATCTTTTTTATTTCATTAATTTTACCCTTCATAACAACGATTCTGGCATGTTTGGAAGAGATCTTTGATTAATCTTAAAGAACATATTGATTATCCTAACTTCGACCAAAAGTCGCACCAATCAAATTAATTAGTAAAATCTATTTTATTTTAGTATTAATTACTTTATGAAATTATTCAGACTTTATTTTCATTTGATGACTTACATTTAGTATAAATGGATCAATAATATTACTATAAAGAGTGGCTTATTCAATAGAACTAATTAATTTAAGTCTTTTTTATCTTGTAGGTGTTCTAATTTAATTTTCTTCTTTCTTTTTATCATATTGTTATTAAAAAGAAACTTTTAACTTTACATTTTTTTGTTATTTTTTATTATCTTAATCACCTTATACTTCTCTTATTATATGATCTATATTTATGGATTAACCCAATAGATTTTAAACACCCTTATTATTATTTTATTAAAAATTAATTTTAGTATCATTTTAATTCTTTATTTAATCATTATTAATAAATTCTGATTAACCCATCATTACTGATTATCCTACAATCTTTGATTAACCAAAATCATTATTTTTAGGTTCTTAAAATATTACCGATTCTTGCATTTGTTAATTTTAATTTTAATTTTGATTTTCAGGAAACGCTACAGATGCTTACATCTAATTAGAAAAATAAACTGACCCTTCTATCTTTTATTCTTTATTTTCTAATTAAGGAAAATAAACCGACTCCTACATTACTTACTTAGAAGGAATAAATAATACTGATTCTTACATTTATTTCTATTCTTATTGAGGAAAAATTACAGATTCTTACATTTATTATTATTAATTTTGAGTCTAAGGAAAATAGACAGATTCTTGCATTGGTTTAGTATCTTATTATGGAAAATAAACAGATTCTTACAATTATTATTATTATTATTAGGGTGAAAAGTATACACTCTCCTACATTTATTAATTTTATGGAAAATATACAGATTCTTACATAGATTTCTTATTATCAATTTAGTTTTTAGCTGAATCAATTAAAGGTGTTTTTTCATTAAGAGTGGTTTCATCTGAAGCAGTTTCTAGAAAAGAAATATGATTTAGTTTTTATTCTTATCCTTTTTAGCGATAAATAAGATCCTATCTTTATCTAACACTACTTTCTATATCTGGATCAGTCTTTTGTATTTTCTGCAAATCAATATTTGTTTTATTATAATTTTGCATATTTACAGAATTAGATCTTAAAGAATCTATTGCAATCGATTCATGACGAACATCTTCTAAATTAAAAACTTTAAAAGCTTCTAAATTATCTGATGTTTATGCTTTTTTATCTGGAGATTTCTTCCAAAATTATGGACATTTTACATTAAAATAAAATAAGTCATAGTAATCAAAATGATTAATCTATTAACTTTCTGTTTAAAATTCCTCAGTTTCTAAACAATTATATATAGTTTGATTTAATGTATTGGTTAAGTAAAAAAGCATTAAGAATACATTTTATATATATGTGTATTTTTACATTTAGGTAAGTTTAGAATGTGTTTATAGTCTAACATTTATAATTTTTGTATTTTATTATAAATTAAAATCAAAAAGTTTGAGCAATTAACTTGTTTCAGGAAATGGACATTTTCCCAAAACAGAAATAATAAATCCATCAACTAAATTTTATTTAAAAAGTTAATCTAAAAAATCTAATTTAACAATTTTTAAAAGGACACTTACTTAATCAACATCCCAAAAAAGTGGTGGTTCTTTAGGTAAATATTAGGTATTAGTGTATAAAAGTTTGATTAAATTAGATTTGATATAAACATCATTATTTCTTCTAAATTAGATTCCTTTATCTGCCATAAATATTTACTTAATATAACAATTAATTTGTTATAGAATATCTAATAACTATTCACAAGTACATTTTCCCTCTGGTCCAGAACATCTACAGCATTTTCCTCTTGTACATATTCTACTTCGATGTAATCCTTATAATCTTTTAAGTGATAAACGATAAGCTTCATATAAATTTAGTATGAAAGACCATATTTTCAATTTAACAATTTGATAATGAATGTTTTTATCACTAAAATTCCTATAAAAAAATTGATTTGCTAAACAAATTTCTTTTATAACATCATTCTACAAACCTTAGACTTCTAAAATTGATATTTTATCTTAGACTTTTTCATGATGCTTTTTTTATTTAGTTCCAAGCACATTATTTAAAAGTAGATGATTTACATTTAATTACTTGTTATTATGAATCTAAAAATCATATTCATTAAATGTATACTCTCAAAATATCTTTAGCCCATTCAAGTTTGTAATGATCACAAAAGCTACGAATTTAATCAATTGTCCACTAAGATGGAGGAGTTTTGAGAGAGTTTAATGATTAGCATATGGACTCTAATTATGTTAAATTCATAAATATAATTGAATAATATTTTATTTTTAATTTATTAGTTATTCAGCTCTTTAAAATTAAAAAATCATATAGATTATCTATGTATTCCAATACTTACAATTTAATATAATCATTTTATAAAGTAATAAATAAAAAATCTATATTCTTCATATTATTAATATATAAGATATTCAAAAGTTTCTTGAGTAATAATTCTAATGTTTTTATTATATCATATCGTAGTAACATAGTATTTATATAATTTTCATTAGGGAATTCTAATATTTAATAATCTTTTTGATGATCTTCTTAATTTTATTAATAATTTGACATAAAATACATCCTAAACTCTTTATATCTACGAAATAGTAATGGAGAAGTATACTTATTGAAATAAAGACAATTTCTGTAGCTTTATATGATTTTAAAAATTATTTTAAGATTTTATTGATATTGCTTTAAAAGATTTTTTAAAATTATACTCCCATCTAAATCCTTAACAGAATAAGGTAATCCAAAATTAGTCGAACTAATATTTCTTTACCTGTTATTAGAATATTTGAAGGCTTAAGATTTGTATAGTATTCCTCAAGATTGTATATATTTGAGAACAAGAATTTAGTAAATATTTATTTGTGATGTGTAGGATATCAAACTATTTTTTTAATTCTTTGAATATAATTAGGATTAGAAGATGTGCTTTCATAAAATCAAAACTGAAATAGAGATCTTTTTTGATTTAATGATTTTAGAATTATTCTTAATAGAATGGTGTTTTCATGATTAGATAATTAGTGAAGAAATAACATAAATTACAAAAGTGAGTATCAATGCAAAAGTAAAATGTACTTGAAATATTTTGAGAAAATTAATTTTGATGTTTATCTATTTGATAGGTTAGAAAATTGATTATAGATGATAATGATTCATCTTTTCCAGGAAATATATTGATGGTACATATTTTCTAAATATAATCAACTAACTATTGAGAATGAATAGTGTTAATATTTGATTAATAATCTTTTGTCTGAGTAGATCTCAAAGAAAGAACAAAGCAAAAAATAGTCTAAATATTTGTATATTTATTTGAATATCATTATTTTATCTCGTCATTGACTCTCTTTTTTCCATCAGCAGTCACTTTTAAGGTAACAACAATCTTGACTTTGGATCTGTTATCCTCAAATTTCTAAGTGAATGTATTGATTCTATCAATGGTCACATAATCTAAGAGTTAAGTGATGAGTGTTACTCTATCTTTGAAGTTATTCAGCCACTCTTACTGCCTTTGAGATTGTGTCACCCAATGCATGGATCTCCACAACATCAAATCTCTTCAAATAAATTTTGGCAACAAACACTGATGTTTTTGGAAGAGTCTTTCCACTTAAATTATAAACATTAGTCTCTGGGTTGACAAGAGTCTTCTTTGATTAATCCATTAGTTTTGAGGATTTGCAATAAAAAATAAATATTGGTAAATTTCATAATCAATATATAATAATGTCATGCTAATTTATTTTCTATTGCATCATCTTAATGTAAAGCTTCTTATTCAATACCTTCATGTTATTTAACTTGTGGTCTTCTAAATCTTCCAATGTTGGAAATTTCATATTGACCATATACACAAACTATCAATGCAAAAAATAAACATGGAATAATTGAAGCTACCCATGTAGCAGCCCATTAAACTGTATCATCATAATCCTTTAAATCATCTTAACCTTCATAAATGAATCTCTATTATTAATTATTTAATCATCTTACTCCTTTAATGAAATTCATTTATTATTCCTGTGACAATGTTCTTTGCATACTGCTCTAAGTATTTAAGCTCAATAAAGTCTGCAACAATGGTTATTTTATAAATTATGGCTATGTCAAAACAAACCAATTTGTAATTTCACAAGGTCTAAGATATCATATGACTCAAATCATTACGGAATGTTAAGTGGTGCTTTATAAGATACAAAGCTAGCCATATCTGAATTGTAAACTCCAAGAATATTTTATTTGAAATTGAAATTCTCAGTTATTACTTAATTTCCTGTAAAATTTATGTTTATTGCATATCTAATATCCTAAGTCTCTTATAATGCATATATTGGTATTGATAAAATAGCATAAAGAGCTTCACTCTAACATTATTAATAGATCTAATCCTATATGAAATACACTTAAATTTCAGCATCAGGTACTTATGACCAAAAATCAAAATTGTGTTCTGCTGGTCTAATTGTGAAATACTAAGATTCATATCTTGCAATATTGTCGATTCCCCAAAATGTCAACTTTATTTAGTTAGTTCTGTATTAAGCATATGGTCCTTAAATTTTATTCATTTCTAACTAAATCATCTCTTCAACATCTAAACTTATCTTCGAATTAAGTAAACTCACCTAAGAAACATCGAAATTCTTTGTATCTGCACTCACTCCCTATATACACTATTATAATGCTAAATTTAGATTATTAATTAATACATCCTATTCCTTCATAATTCCATTCTTTATTCTAGGTGTTAGGGCTGTTTGCTTTGAATGTATAGTTTAATATTGGATTATTTTCATTGCATTGTTAAGATATTACATAGACTACTTCACAAACCAGAAATAGTATAGTAAACTGCATTTAATTTAGATATTTATATATTTCTAATTATCTGTTATTCATTAAATATATAAAGTCTATTTTTAGTTTGTTCCCGATCAATTTTTTATTCTTTTCAAATTTTTAATCAAATATCTCATTGTTTCTCTCACTTCACTCATAAAGTATAGCTTTTTTTAAAATCCTATTGTTATCTTCGTAGAGTTTACGAGAATGTAAAATATCTCATTAAATACAACATATGTTTACTATTACCGATTATAATATTTAAATAAATATGTTTCAATCATAATTAAACTAGCAATTCATTGGTAACATCAATGATTTAGGATAGAAATTATACTTTTTAATAGTCTAAATTCTATTGAGAGAATTGCTCAAACATTTTTATTTCTTATTTCAATTATTCTATCATCATATCCCTATTTCTCATTTGTTGATGAATATTTTATAAGTCTGTTTAATACTGAGTTTTTATTTTTTATAATTCTTTATCTCTTTCTTCATCTAATTTTTATTTTTACAAATCCAAACTTGGAAACTCTTAAAATCTAATCACTTCTTAGAACTAAGACTCTGATGATGTATTTTTTAGATTTTGTAATTCATTATCTTTTTATTTTGATTCCTCTGTTAGTAACTGTATTTTAGTATTCAAATAATTAATCTAATTCAAAAACATACTTTACTTTCTTTTCATAAATTTATTACATCAACAGTATTTCTTATTATTTAAGTTATTCCAGTTTCTTTATTTCTTAATCCATAACGATCAGAATTTTAATAATTTAATAAATGGATTGATTATAAGGTTAAATAAATAAATGAGTATTTTAATCACAAAATGAATTAGAAATTGTTATTAATTTGAAAGTTATAAAACAATCATGTAATTTGCAACAACAAGACATAAAAAAAATTTAATTTAGAATTTTATAATCAAAACAATTACATTATGAAATTCTTAGATGTTAGCAATGATTAAATAATAATTAAAATTACCATTATTTTAAAACAATCAATTTAAATGGGTATCTTTGAAAAACAATAATCATAATTTAGAAAGATATGATATAATTAAAATTGAATAAATGCAAAAAGGATAAACTTGAGATGATGGTTGAAAAAGTTGATTAAAACTATAGATGAATAGAATGATCTAATGATCTAATGATTTAAAAAAATTAATAAATACATATTATATAACTAATAGATTTTGTTGATTAATGCAGAGTAGTTGAAGATAGATATGGGAGAATTTATTGTTCTGAAAGAAGCATAAAAGAGATATTAATTAATTTATATGTAATAATAAATAATGATTATTTATAATAGGGTTAGGATTATATCTGATATATTAGAGATGTGAAATCAAATAATTTTAAATGAGAATTGTGATAATAAATAATGATAATATTTTTTATATTAGGACTTGTATTATGTATAAATGGAGCATTAGATTATCCAACAGCATGTGATTGTTAAGAGCATGTAGAAAAAGAAAGTTGTGAAAGTCATAATTGTAATTGGTCTAGATCAGAATGTAAAGTGGCTGAATGTAATGAGAGATCCTTATAGAATTGCATAAGTTCATCTTAATTCTTGAGTTAAAATCCTCATTATTGTTACATAAACAATGGAAGATGTGAAAAGCTAAATAGATGTGAAGATATTTAAATAAGTTTAAAAAATTATGGACAAGCAAGAGAATAATGTTAACTTTATTAATGTGCTTATGATTTAGTAAGCGGATACTGCTTCAAACCAAAAAAATGTGAAGAAATTTATGATCAATATACATGTGATAGTTTCTTAATTGCTAAAAGTAATCCTTTAGAAATAGATTCTATTTGTTATTGGGAAGGTCAGTGCAAAACAAGAAGTTCATTTATAGAAGATTGTGGATCAATCAAAGATAAAGATGTTTGTTAATAAGGAGGATGTTAATATGAAAATGATTAATGTATAGAGATTAATTGCAATAGTCGTACTATTAAAGAGTGTAATGGAGAGTATGTTAATCATTAAGGAAAAGTTTTTGTATGTTATGAGAATAATGATAAATGTGAACAAATACAAACTGAGAAGCTGCACAAAATTGTCTGTAACTCTATGATTGGACATACATACAAAGATAAACAATGTACAAAATGCATTTCTTATGCTGAACATTGGAAATGATTTTATTATAATAAATAATGTTAGTGTTGTTTAAAATCAATTTTTTGCACAAACATCTATTCAAAAGTAAAACATACTATTAAGAAGTTCTTTAAAATCAAATGATTTTAATATAAGAATAACTTTGAATAAGCTTGATATCATAAGACGATGCAAATCAAAAATATATAAGTCCAATTTCAATAATGTGGAAGAAATTCGAAGATAAATAGCTCTGCAGTTTTAGTATTCTCTAACAAAAAAGAATAAAGTATTTTATACAGAATCAACCATCTAAAACTGTACTTTTCCTCCAATTAAGAATTTTGGCAAAATATCCATTTTCAATGAACCTACTCAGATTATTGGTTCTGATGCATCTTCAAAGGTAATTCTGCTTTTTCTCACTCTCAGATGTGTCTTTTGAAACAGAAGTTGATATTTTTACAATACAACTAAATGTATCTAAAGGAAGTATCTAACTTGTAAGAATTTCATTTATTGTATAATATTTACTTTTAATCAGATTTAAAGGCTATATTAGAATCTGAGATAGAAATTTTATCAAAGATCAACTATCCAATATATGTTAAAATACTGATGAAGAAGAAGACTCATATTCATTTAATGATTATCTATAAAGAAGGCGATACTCAAATTAGTTCAATATCTTTAAGCAGATAATGATTCAAGTTATATAATAAATGATGGAATTAAAGTTACACAAAAAAGTTTATATTATTTTAGACCTTATTGTTGAATCTTCAATATTTAGACTAGGGCTTGATACAAAGTGTTATTAAGTTCAAAATATTTTATTTGCGAAACAAAATGATATAATAATATCCCTAAAGATTATAGATTTTGGATTTTCCGTCTATGAAAATACATACACTTAATTATCATATAAATAGGTTGACTTAAAAGAACTTTATCTTTTGTACAGATAAAATTGTTGAATCAATAAATACAAATACTGAATAGGATATAAATTTAAATTAGAAAGAATAAACAGTATAAAAAAGATGTTCCTAATCTATTAAGATTTATTTTAAAAACTAATCCAAATACTATACCAAATGATTCTAAATCTTTAGATCATCAATATTTTATTTATTAACATGTACTTATATAAAAACGGAAAATGATTGAATAGATTGAAAAAATAATTCTTTAGAAAGTGAAGGAAATTAAAAAATTTTTTAAATTCTAAAAAATCTTAAATAATAAGAGTAGTATAATAAAAGTGTAAAAGATTGAGTAATTATAGAAAATAATAGATAAGTATAGTGATAAAAATACTAAATTTTTCACTTTTCAATAACAATAGATATTCAATATATAAAATTAAATTATTAATAAAATGATTTCAAATCCGATGCTTGAATCTAATTAGAACAACTAATAAACAAGAAGTGGATAGTCTTAGGGAACTTACTAGATGGTAAAATCAAATTAGATTGAACTTTCTGTCAGAAATAAACTCATTGAGCAAGAAACAGAATATCCCAAAGTTCCACAGTCAAGAAAATCGGAAAAATTACTTTGCACAAAATGTAATTAAGTAGTAGAATCTGATGTTCAATATTAAATGGGAAGGTGTAGTTTTATAGTTATGATTGTCTTAATTGTTGGTATTATTACAGCCTTATTTGCTTTCCTTCCATGTTTACTTGATAATTGTAAAGATGCTATTCATAGATGTTCAAAATGTACCAAACTTATTGGTACTAAATAATTTATGTGTGGATGATGATACCAATTACTTGTTAAACTATATATTATTATATTAATATTTTACGATGATAAGATCATTTCGTTCATTTTCCTTTCATAAGTATTCCTATATACCTCCTCAAAACTAACTTCGTCGCAACAGTTGTCATTGTTCCCATTGTGCCACTTCAAATATTAAATAAATCACATTGCCTAATTAACTATATGAAATTGTCATGCATAGAAAAATCAGACTTGCAAATTTGCTAATAGAAAATTTCTAACCTGCTGATAAATTTTTGAGATCAAAACATAAATACAAGAATTTTCAAATATTCCCACGTAATAAATAATAATTATTTTCCAATTCCAATCATCTATCTTCACATAAATCTCCATCTCCATCATCACAAGATGAAATCAAACGCTATTCCTAAAGTAAGAAAGCATCTCCAAAATATTCCTAATATTTAAATTCCAAATAATCAAATACCTACTTTTTAAATCATCTTAAAACATAAATGACAAGAATAGATAAAAACTTAAATTAATTAATTCAAACTAGTAGATAATAAATTACTGAACCAGATGAACCAATTATTACTTCCAAAAGAACTAAATAAACTATCATTAAAACAACTAAAACACATCATTAAACATACAAATCTGCATACAGTATTGCTCTTAATAAAAGATTTCTACACCCTAAGAGAACCCATAATACTAATCTTCTTACTAAAACCTAATAAGCATTGTCAAAATATGCTATAAATTATATTAATTGATAAATCTATCAAAAGATAAAATTTAAAATCAAATATTATTTATATTAATCTAATTATATTAAAATTTAATTCAAATTTATTTTTTTTTTTCATCTATTTTTTCAAACAATCTAAAATAGTTTCACTTTTCTTTATTTTCATCATAATATTAATTTTACATATCAATTAAAATAATAAAAGAGTATCAAAAATTTATAATCAAAATTATGCGAAGATAATCTATAATTAATTTTAATTTAAAAAGTTTTTTTATAATTTTAATTTAAAACTTATTAAGAACTTATATTTCATATTATGAATATAAAACATAAATTCTTATATTAATTTTCTAAATTATAAAATTACTAGTATTTTATATCTAAATATCATTTAAATTTATTTTCTTCATACTAATTTATTTCATCAGAAGTCAATTTTAAATTTAATATGAATACTAAAAGGATATTAACTTAATGTTATGCAAATTAGGAAACTAATCGGTTAGGTCAATTGTATTACTCATAAATGTANGTTCATTTTCCTTTCATAAGTATTCCTATATACCTCCTCAAAACTAACTTCGTCGCAACAGTTGTCATTGTTCCCATTGTGCCACTTCAAATATTAAATAAATCACATTGCCTAATTAACTATATGAAATTGTCATGCATAGAAAAATCAGACTTGCAAATTTGCTAATAGAAAATTTCTAACCTGCTGATAAATTTTTGAGATCAAAACATAAATACAAGAATTTTCAAATATTCCCACGTAATAAATAATAATTATTTTCCAATTCCAATCATCTATCTTCACATAAATCTCCATCTCCATCATCACAAGATGAAATCAAACGCTATTCCTAAAGTAAGAAAGCATCTCCAAAATATTCCTAATATTTAAATTCCAAATAATCAAATACCTACTTTTTAAATCATCTTAAAACATAAATGACAAGAATAGATAAAAACTTAAATTAATTAATTCAAACTAGTAGATAATAAATTACTGAACCAGATGAACCAATTATTACTTCCAAAAGAACTAAATAAACTATCATTAAAACAACTAAAACACATCATTAAACATACAAATCTGCATACAGTATTGCTCTTAATAAAAGATTTCTACACCCTAAGAGAACCCATAATACTAATCTTCTTACTAAAACCTAATAAGCATTGTCAAAATATGCTATAAATTATATTAATTGATAAATCTATCAAAAGATAAAATTTAAAATCAAATATTATTTATATTAATCTAATTATATTAAAATTTAATTCAAATTTATTTTTTTTTTTCATCTATTTTTTCAAACAATCTAAAATAGTTTCACTTTTCTTTATTTTCATCATAATATTAATTTTACATATCAATTAAAATAATAAAAGAGTATCAAAAATTTATAATCAAAATTATGCGAAGATAATCTATAATTAATTTTAATTTAAAAAGTTTTTTTATAATTTTAATTTAAAACTTATTAAGAACTTATATTTCATATTATGAATATAAAACATAAATTCTTATATTAATTTTCTAAATTATAAAATTACTAGTATTTTATATCTAAATATCATTTAAATTTATTTTCTTCATACTAATTTATTTCATCAGAAGTCAATTTTAAATTTAATATGAATACTAAAAGGATATTAACTTAATGTTATGCAAATTAGGAAACTAATCGGTTAGGTCAATTGTATTACTCATAAATGTACCAAATGTAATAAATTAATTTTATTTATTATAATATATATATTTATTGTTCATTTGACTTTTACTCTATCAAATAGCTTATCTACTACACCATTTAAGTTATTAATCAAACTAAGGGAATGTTGATATAAATTATCATGTTTAACTGTATCAAACAAAATCAAACAATCATTTCCTTAATCTAAAGTACCATCAATTTTTTTATCTAAAATTAACTCTGATAACCTAAAAATATTAATTAATATCTAACTTTCTTTAAATAATTTCTACATCAATAGACATTCTTTAAGTGATATAATCAATTTGAACTTTCGAATATGGTTAAATAACTTGAAACAGATTCATTTCTAATAAAACTTCATATAACTATTTGATATGTAATCTGATGACTTTGTCGCCTTCAATTTCTTCTTTAAATTCATCTAAGACTTTAGTAAATTCAATAAGTGATTTTTTTTAATTGCTATTAGAAATAGCTTTCATAGCCTCTAAATGCTATAATAAATAATATGATAAATTAATTACTCTGCCTGCATATTTAAGTCCATGTTTTCCTGTGAGAATTTATTTAACTTCATCAGTAGCTCCAATCATAATTTTGCATAATAACATATATTTAAGTGTTCCTAGAGCTCTTTTATCTTCTAGATTATTGAATGCTTCAAAAGCTTCATAAAAATATGAATAAGATGTTCTATAGTCTCTTTCTTCTGCATACAATACACCAGCCATCATATCAATTTCAGCTTAAACATGAGGTGGACAATAGATAGTATTAGAGCATGCTCTAGCTGCAGTTAAAGATGCTTTGGCTTTAGCAAGATTTGTTTATCCAAAATGTAATTTACTCTCAATTAAATATATCTCCAATAATAAATGTTTATCATCAGCTTTTCTTACTTCACCTACAATTTTATCAATAATTTCAATCCCTTAAGTGAATTTCTCTTATTCATTATATAATGTTGCTAATCTTATTTACATCTTATGCTTTAAGTAATTCTTCTTATCTCTTGCACATTAATCAATCAAAAATTAACACATATCAACTTATAAATCAATTGTGTTTTCTAATTATGCTACTTAATCAATCATTTATCTCATTATTTTTGCAGCCCTTGTTTAATTGAATCCAGAAAAATCATGTGATTTCATTATTTAAAATACTTATTGAGGTTAGTTTTATTTGCAATATAATTAAGATAATTTATAATATGCACTTTCTTTGTGTTTCAAATGCTCCTCAGATTTTGAATCTTTTTTTTTCTATCATTATTAAAAAAATACCAAATGTTAATAATTTTATTAATGCTCTTTCTAAATTACTTTAATCTAATCTAGAATTCTCGATTTCCTATAAAATTATTTAGAATTCTTCTACAAGTGTTGCCATTCTTTATTTAATTTATTTATTTAAAATTAAAAATTAATCAAAAAAAGAATACTAATGTGAACTCTTTTGTGTTTGATATTAATTTATACAATAATGAATTTGAATGAAATATAAACAATATTAGTTTATTGATTATTTGATTTCTTCTAAATGAATATTCACTTATGTTTATCAGGGTTTTGATAATTTGGATATAAATAAAAAGATTTGTAAACTAAAATAAAAATCTTGTGTTAGAATGAATACAGTAAAGGAATTAAGTGAAGTGTCATGTGAGAAACAAGAGAATACTGAGATTGAAAAAGAGAACTCATTTACGAATGAAGAACCTCATTATAGTGTTGATAAAGAGATGGTAATAAATTTATATAGAATGAGTTAGTAAGAAGAATAGTAGGATGATATTTAATTGTAAATCTATTCACCATAGTAGTTATTACAGTTTAAAAAACAAATTCCTGTGAATTTTGATGAATTCAATTTAGATGAAGATCCTAAAAAGAAAGTATGTATATAATGGGAAAACACTACAGCAGAATAATCAGAAGTTCAACCGATGGGAGATTTAGAAAGACTAGCAGAATAATTGTAAAGAGAAAATTAAAAGAAATATTCTTATCCAAAGAATTTGCCAGCACCTTCTAATGTAGATAATCATTTAGAAGAATTGAATATGCGATTCACACCTACTTTAAAATAAGATGAATTCATATAAACATATGTAAAAGGAGATGATTTACTAAGAATCAAAGTTGGATTATGTGAAGAAATTTTGAATGATGAAGAAACTTTGAAATTTGAAGATTGGGTTGAATAATTATGTACATCAACTAATCATGAATCTCTTAAAGAAATGGCAAGGAAATAAAAGGTAAAAAGATATCTAGAAAAAAAACATAATCGTACTTATGAAAAGAAAGTGCATTATCATATTAGATAGAAGGTTGCTGAAGAAAGATTAAGAATAAAGGGAAGATTTGTAACTTGGGGTTAAGTATTTCATTAAATTCATTATTTAGGCTTTAAAAATGTTAAATGAATAAGATTAGAAAAAGTCATGGAGTTATAATGATTATATCAAAATCAAAGGATTATTGAATGAGAAGTTTGGAGCAATCAAAAGTGAGAAGTCATTGAAATTTTGATTGCTTTAAACCTTTGTGTATTTAATATTATATTAATTAATGGATAAACAATGTTCCATCTGTAATAAGGAATTCTCCTTTATCAAACAAAACAAATCTAAATGTAAAAGATGTGGACTTGTAGTATGTCTTGATTGCAATAAAAATGAATTTAAAGTATCCATCTTCTTTATTCTATTTCTTAGATTTCTGCATCCATGTTGAAACCACTTAAAATAGAAAAAGTTTGTTTATAATGCAAAACCGATTGTTTATATATGGAAGAATAAATAGATAAATTATAATTATCTTGGAACAAAGAAACAGAATTATAATTTGATCTTTTTCAAACATCACTTAATCCAGAATAATACAAATAACATATTAAAAATGCAAAAGCTTAAAACTCATATAAATAGAATCTTGAACAAATCAAATCTGATTTAATTAAAGTATTATAATTAATCAATTTTAGTGTTTTATTACTCAAGAAATGTTTAATTACTCTTTTCAGGATTGGATATCTCATTCAACTAATCAAGTTAAAGTCAATCAAATTTTTGATGAAATAGAAAATCTTTTAGTTGTATTTTTGTCTAGAAATTCAGAAGTGGGATACTCATGCGAATTATTATAAATTTCAATTGTTCTACTAACTTTAATTAAAGATTATGCAGCTTTATAATTATTAGAATAACTCTATGAATTAATGCCTTATGAATATTGGCCTACTTCTACATAAGAACCTAATTTATAAACATTAGTTTAAGACTTTTAATTAGCCTTTAAAATTGATTCTACATAAATTTCTTAAATTAAAAAGTTTATGGAATACTTTTCCACTCCAAATACATAAACTTTATTTATTAAAGGATTAAATTTCTCTTGTTTTCATATTATATTTATAGAATTTGTCTCATAAATGAATTTTGAAGTCATTTAAAAATATTTGATTGTTGTAGCAAAAAGTTGTCTAAAATCTTTTGGATAATTTGGCTTTGATTATAAAACCATAGGCAAATAAATTCTTACTAAAACTGATTATAAATGTATCTTATTTATTCAATTATATTTGAGCTATCACATAAATTAAAAACCTATTGGATTAAAAGCTTGGAAACTCTTAACTTACATTTTCAAGTCCAAAAAGTAGTATAATTCGTAAACGCAATTCTGTTTGCAGCATAGATAATAATAGTTTTATAGATAATCTACCTCAAATCATGACATAATAAAATTCTTAAAGAGAAATTAAAGTGGAAGATAATTTTATTTTTAATTTTTAGAATGAATAAAATTTACAAATTATTTAATTAATGAAGATGATTGAACAAAAAAAAAAAGAGCTTCATGAATTATCAATTAAGAATATAGCTTTAAAAAATCAAACACAAAATATTAAATAGATTTCTAAAAAAGATCATCAAAATTATTTACAAATGATTGAGAAGGTATCATCAGATATATAAGATGAATTAAAATAAGGAATATAAATTTGCAAATAGAAATGAATATGATTTCAATATTAAGTATAATCTAATTTAAGTTTTCTGTTAATATTAATTTTTTGGAATTCATAGAATTATTTAATTGATAAATATTATTGTAAAATATTAATTCAAAATGATTTACCAAGAAAATCAAAAATATAAATTCTCCACCAAGGATTACACCAATCCTAATTCTTCCTTCAAAAAATATATAAAATAAGAAATCAAAGTTGAAGATGAAATATAACTTAAACTAGAGGAAATTCATCGCTCATAATTATCAACTGAAGATTTTTAGGAGTCTTCTTAAATAAACAGTATTAAAAAAAGAAACAAGATTTAAAAGAACAAGGATAGGAATCAAGCTTATAAATCAGAAACAAAAAATATTCCAAAAAATTTTGGAGTGTTGTTGAAAAAATATTTATGTATTCTATTTAAACTCAATTTTTCTATTTAGGCACAAAAAATATAGACAATTAGGCAATTAAGGCATTTTTGAAAAATGGGGAGAATAAAAAAAACTTTTCAAGACAAGATTTCACTAAACTCTTTAATGATGAAACAGCATAAGCATTATCTAGAGAGTACTTTTCAGGATTCTAAATAATTCATGATCTTATGATAAGTGAAAAAATATAGGATGTTAAAAATCATCTTAAATATATCAGCAAATTTTATAATTCTACTTACAATAAAGAGGAACTTGATGAATTAAAATTATAATGACAAAGATCATTTTTTAATAAAATTATTTTCTAAATACTTATTTATTGAAAAGTTGCCATTTTTTTAAATTTCCATTCACAAACTTTTATTATTAATTCAACCAATTCTGAAAGTTCTTAATATATTCTATCAATAATTTGAACTATTTGAAGTATCAGTTACATAAAATATTAATAATAAACTGATGAAAAAGCTTTAAATATTAATTAATTTACTAATTAAATCAACAAGCAAAAATTCTATTTTATTTAAATTCTTAAGGTAATATAATTTAATGTATATAGATCAATGATTATTAAAAAAAGGAGAATATATATATATTTTATATATAATTACAAATTTAAAATTTTTAGGGGGGGATTAAAATTATTATATTATAATACGGCTTATGACGGTAATAAGTAGAGGGTAAATATATTATTAATTTTAATACCTAAAATGGAGGACAGCTGTGTCTTAAACTTGATATCATAAACTTCTCTTCCTTTTGTAAATTAATTTCTCAAATAAAATGAACTATGTGACTCATTAAGCAGTTAAGGTACTAATAATTAAGGGGAATTATCATTTACTTAAAATGTAACAAATGTATTTATTATGAATAGGAAGCAAGTAAAAAATCCATATAAACAAAAAAGAAAATCAATAAAGACTAGAATTAAAATGTAAAAAAGAATTAAGGTCATTGGACTGCTTATGAACATTATATATATATTGAGTTCCTTAAATAAAACCATAATACAACAATGCAAAATCAATAAAATAGAAAAAATAACAAAATCTTCAAACTCATGTCAATGACTATTGGAACAAGATCTCCGTCTTAATGCAGGTATTATATATTTATATTAAGATCACACCATTAAAAATTTAATCCTTTCACATAGGCTGGTCAAAAGAGGAATAAGAAAAATAACAAGAAAATCAGTAATCTTCATAATAATAAATTTAGATCCTACAAATATAGGATTAGCCATAGAAGTCTAAGTAGATTTTACTTTAGAAATCAAATCTTAAATAAGTATTAATGAATTATAAAAATAAGATCCTTATCATTTTGATTAATTATCCAACTATGAAGACTCTCGTCCTTAGTTATAAAATTTCTGCTGCAATTCTAATTATGATAGTGATTACGGTAATCAATATTGTTGTAATTCATATCTGGAAGGAATACTTGATTGAAGTAGATTTGTATTATATATGTTCTATTTCTAATATTTATACTTATTTTATCTCATTTTTATAAATTTTATTAACATATAAATAATCTTAATTAAATTACTTATATTTTAAAACCAAGCTCAACTTAATCATTTATTGACATTTGTGTAAATTTAATTTTTATATTTATAAACTTTTATTAAATTCTGAAAATATATTTATTATTTGCCATTCAATAATTTTACTTCTCATTTTGATATTTATAGTTTTAGAGAAAATGAATTTTTATTTTATGTTTCTATAATTTAAGTAATATAATTTTAGGATTTATTTTTCATTTTATTCCAAAATATATATGCAATTTAATTAATAGTAATAATTTTTTATTTTTTTTATAAAATGTAATTATAAATATAATTATATTTTATAAATTTATGGATTCTTTATCTGTAGCTTTATTTAAGAAAAAGCAATAAAAAGAAATATAATAGGCTCTTTTATATGAAAGACAAATCCGTGAAAAAGAACTTTAAAAAAGCTAACTTGTTCTTCGATCTTGTGAAAGAATGTAATTAATTACTGATAGATAATTACAAAAATTGAAATAAAGCTAATTGTCTTCAGTCAAACATCAATAAAATGAGCATAGATTTAAATCCTAAGAGAGTGATACAATTTATACTAGGTAATATGGTCTTTTGCATTTTTAGACCTAAAATAGAGCTTGAGTAAGAAGCTTACGACAGATGGATTTCTAATCAAAAAAGATAATTAAGAAGAATTGAAACAGAAAAATTGAAAAAGTATGAAGAGAAGGTTGATAGAGCAGAAAGAATAAAGAACATGAAAGAATAAGACCATAAAAATAAATAAAAATTACGTATAGAAACAACTATCTAAAAAGAGAAAATTCATGATGAATACACATATAGGCTTCATGTAAATATTCCAATATAGCATTTTAATTTAGAAATTGCAGAAAAAAGAATACGCAAAGTAAATAAAATTTGTTTGACCATTTATAAAATTAAAAGCTATATAATGAAATTTTATTATTATTTTCTTTGTTTTTATTAATGTCTACTTATAAATAAATATATTTTATAATTAGATGATTTGATAAATATATAAACATAATTTTCAATATATATAGCTTATATTTGATAAAATCCTATTTTAAGATTCAATCAAAACTCTTTCTTAATTGTATCTTCTATTTTCAATATTATAATTTTAAATGGTCTCCTCACATTCTTTAAGATAAAATTATACAGAATAAATTACCTCACTGCATTTATGCAATTTACTATTTAAATTTATCTTAAATCACAACCATTTAATCAGATAATTCTTAAATCATATCTCTCAATTTATTAACGTAAGATCTCAAAATACTTAAATCCATTGATAAAAAATTAATTAACCTAATTAATTTTAAACTATTTCGATAACAAATTAACTTTGAGATTATTTTAATTTTTTAGGAGTTGTTTTAATAGTTTTTTTCAATAATTATACCTTTCTTTGTTATTGTGACTGAAACACTTTTGTATTTAAATAGAAAAATAAGCTAAGAAAAGGAAGCAAACAAATTTATATGTTATATTTTAAAATGAATTTTAGGTTTATCTTATTTAGGATTATTTAAAGATTTTAACTTTCGACTATCTTCACCTGTTTCAATTTTTTCAATATCTTTACTTTATTTTTCGATAATTTCATTAAGATTAAGTAGTACTGTAACATATCATTAATTTGTTAAAGTTAAGAAAAATGAAGTTTTTTTTCTTTTTATTATGATATTGCCTATATCTTTATAAATTTTTTATCATTTAAAAATAATATGTGTTTAAGTTAATTGAAAATAAAGATATTATTAAAATCTAACTTTATCTTTTAATTTGATAAAATTCTGATTTTACTTTTTGTTATTATGTTATTATTTGAATGAAGTAATTTATTTTTCAGCTTCATTGTAGCATGCTTTCTTAGATCTTACAATTTTTAATTTTTTGAGAGTAATTTTATGCAACTTAAGGAAGATTAATGATTGATGTTGTTTTATGTTCCACAAGATTCCCTCTTATCTTTTAATAAAAAGATTTCCTTCTGAGTTTAATTATCTTTGATTATTTCTCTTTATTCTAATAATTATTTACTTTCAATAATGAAAGCTGAGGTTAGACTCTTTTTTGAAATAAATTAATTATGATTAAATTAATTTAAGTATCTATTCAAAACTTAATGAATTGATGTTATTATTAATTTAAAATATATATTTTATAAACATAATCTATAAGAAATATTGAATAATTATTTAAACTATATATAATGAAATAATTTTTTATAAATATCAAAATTAAATACAAGGGATTTAGATAAAATCTCTATTAAAATTTGATTGATAAGTAGTAATCAATTTGATGTAAAATTATTCGATTCAATAAATAAAAAACAAAAATTAGAAAATCTTGATATCCTGCAAAATCTTCAAATTAAACTTATTCAAATAAAAGTTTATTATAACATAATTTCTTACTTATTGTTTAATGTCAATTTAAAAAAAAATTCTCATGATATCCTATAAATCATTAATTCGTAAAATTTTCTTCATTGTGAAATCTTCAGTAACAAGATTAGAATTATAATCTTTGATTTAATCAATATAGAACTCTAAAAATGAGAACTATTTTGAGTAGAAGTATATGTATAAATTTGATCATAAGAGTAATATTAGCACTTAATTGATTTATTAGTAGAATCTTATATGCTTTAGAAGAAATAATTTGATAGAAATGATCTATATTGAAGATGGATTAATCATAATCAATTGGTCTTAATCTTAAACAAACTTTATAATTATTGATATAAATCAGTATATTCCAAATTCTCCTGCAATTTAATATTTTCCTGGTCCAGGTGTAATAGTTTCATTGCTTCCAAAACGTTACATTTTTGAGAATTTAGTCATTTGACAATTACTCCAATTAGAATTAGAATATTTTGGAGCCATTTAATTTCTAGGACTATATTCTTAAGGTCCAGGTGTTTCATCTATTGAATGACCAGCTCTTCCTGAACCAAATCCAGCTACAAATGATTTAGAATGCTCTTTTATTTAAATATCATATTTTCCTGGTCCAGGAGAACATGTTTCATTCTCTAATATAATTATAATCATATACTTGGTAATAACTTTAATCCAAAATGAGGTGCTTTATTAATTTACACCATACTTTGACTAACCTCATAAATTCCAACTGGAGGTACTTCAGTCTTTAGTTTTGTTTATAACCTACCTGCTCCCATAGTATGTTTTTTCAACTTAACAATCTCACAAGTCTTTTATTATTAAAATTAATAATGTCCAGGACCTGGAGTTTTTGTTCCTAATTTTGAAAAATCTACTTTTGTGCCAGATCCAAATGAAACTCCCTTATTTGATTATAAAATATCAGTTTTTATTGTATAAAATGAAGATTAATTACTAAGAATATATTTACAAAATAATTTACTCTTCTTTTTCTTTATAATTAAATCTTGGAGATTTTGTAAAGCTATAAAGTTGTTTACTTTTTGAATTATTTAATGGATTCTATTTGACTGATTTGAATTAATCATAATTTTATGGATTTTTCATTTATAAATTTAATGAATAGAATAATTTAATATATAATTTCATTTTAAATAGGCTTCTACAAATTATGGTAAATTAATTTAAGGTGTTTTATCTTTATCATCATCATTTTAATTTAATGTATTTGCTGCATATTACAACATTCCTTTCAAATCTTCTTCTGATATATTTTCACCAAGACTTTTAGCGACCATCATCAGTTCCTCTAATCCTATATAACCATTAGCATCTCTATCAAAAACTTCAAATGCATCTCTTAAATCATCTTCTCCATTCTTTGCTTTCTCCTCTTGCATTAATAATAAATTCTTAAAATCATCAAAATTTAATTCTTTATCATCTGCTCCTTCTGCTTTCTAAGATTATCTCAATTCTTTCACCATTGATTATATTTCATCTTGTGAAAAATTATAACCTAAAGAACGAAATACTGAAGTCAGTTCCTAAACTTTATTCAATTATTAACATTATTATTACCAGATATACTTTTGGACTTATTTTTATCAAATATTTCAAATGCTTCTTTAATCTCTGCTTCTTTCTCTGCCAAATCCTCTGCTGTTTATTATTACATTTATTTATAAACTATAATTAATTGATTATCATTTTAACAAATTTTATATGTTCTAAATCAATTACATATTAACATTTGATGTATTTAATTATTTTACGTAACCTTCTATCTTCACTAAAGATTTCATTATTCTTTCTGAAGAAATTGAATCTTTCTTGTAATTTTTATTTTTACTATTATTCTAATTTCGTTAAATCAAATCCTTATTTATTATAACTATTATTTACATATTCTATAGACTTTAATATATTTATTATCTATTCTGCAGGTAAGATTGTAAGGATTTAAAAATAGTGAGCAAGATCAAAATCCGATTATTCATTTATAGGTAAACTAGTAATTAAACTAACTAATTTTTCAGAGTTCACCTTATTTTTCCATTTCATAGTCAATTCATATATGATTGACAAATGTTACTTTAAATTTATTTTACCTTATCTCTTTCTATCATCTATCTACTATATTAATAATTCTTGAAATTAAGATTAATAGGAAGGTAGTTAAGTTAATGATAATGCCAAAGATTGTAAAGAGGAATCATTGAATTTTGATAAATCTTATCTTAAAAGATACTTTATCAAATTTTCAATCAAAATATTAAGTTCTTATGGTAAATGTCTCTCTCTAATCTTTATTACACTTGATAATAATATAGTGATTTCTTTAAAATCCAATTTATAAATGAGATCCTATTATTGTATAAACTTTATTGAGATTGTCTTAAACAAATTTATTAAATCTTGAACCAAAATGTTATTAGTATTGTCTTAGCTTATACTTCTCACTATGAATGCTAAATGTGGATATTTCTTAACAACCCATTCATTCTTTTTTTCTAAATGAGGTTTCAATAATTACAATAACACTTTCCACTAATTCATAAATTCAGGATTGCTTAGATCAATTTTAAATTTTAAAATTCCTTAAGAAATAATAAAAATCATATCAAATTATTGCAAATAGTTAAACTTCTTTAAATCACATGTTATAAAATGTTAAAGATATAAACTTAAAGTCTATTAATTAGCAATACCAAGTGACAAGCTATGTGATATCATCTAAAGAATGCCTATATTAATGGTTTTCAAATTTTAATTTATCATTTACAAGAGAATTTCTTAATTAGGTTTATTACAAAAAATATTTGTTTGATGTAATTATGTTAGTAATGTCAACAATTACTCAAATTTTATACTTTCTGTATTCAAATATTCTGAAAGAGAGGAATTAAACAATGATTACTTGCCTTAATCCATAGATTCAATTATTTTTGAAAATTTCATTCTGTCTGATGTATCAATTTAAGAACTTGTATCATATTTATCCATTTCAAATTGCTAAAAAAAGTGATTAAGCTTCGAAAATTAGGAACATTGTTGAAAATTAAATTGATTGTAAAATTTTCGCACAAATAATTTTGTTAACATATTTAATTATGAAATATTAATTTATAAAAATAATCATTTTCTTTAAAATAATGAAAGTAATGATTATGTAGAGCTCTATTCTGATAACTGATTAGTTTTGGATTGAAGTAATTTTTATAATCCTTTACTATTAAAATTGGTAAGTTTTCTCACATCATCTTCTGAATTAAATCTAGCAGTTTCTGGATTATCTTCTTCTGTTAATTCAGTCAATTTAATCATAGTATGTTCAGTAGGTTTTAATAAAGGAGTTGATTTTTTAATAGGTTAGTTGTTTTCTTTATTTTCTTTTATTTAAAGAATACTAGAATTGGTTTATTGAGTAGATAAATCTTTTTTTGAACTATAACATTCTTGATTTTTTTTTAAAATTGATTGATTGCAAAAGCTAATAAGATTTTTCAAATGTATTGAAATATCAGCATTTTGATCATTAGAATTGATAGTATTATTATTTGGTGTTTTTGAAGTTTGTTATGATTCTAATAAAGCTTTAATTTAAATATTGGCACCTGAAGAATTGGTTTTTAATTAAGGTTAGCAAGTGGTATATTGGCTAATTTATCTTTAAATATTAGTAGTTTCATTGATTGGTGAACTGCTAGTATTTTTATGTTTAGTAAAACTATGTGAACTAATTTTTCGATTTAAATCTTCATGAGATTATAATTATAATCTTTTTTTATGTGTTAATGATTTGCCAACAACTTCAGTATGTTATTTTTTTAATTTAACGTTAACAATTTTGGTATTAGGTGATTTTGGTTATGGTTATTGATTAATTGGAGTTGGTAATAATTATTTTTTGATTCTTGTAGTGCTTTATGGATTTTAAAGACGATCTGTATTAAATTAATATTATGATGGTGATTTTTAAAGTTTATTTTGTCTTTAAGAAGATTAGATCAAATTGGTTGTTGATGAATTGATTTAATTAAGATCTAATTGAGGTATTTTTTTGCGTATTTAAATATCAAGATTACTATCTTCTATGAACTAAGGAAGTAGGTCTTTTAACTATTGGGCTTATTGGGATGTGATGGTAATTTAGTCAATATGATTTTGACACTGCCTTGACCGGTTAATAGGATAATTTACCTTAAGTAATGGAAGAATTAATTAAAGGGAAGTTGCTTTAACTAGAGTTAAATCTAGATTAGAGTTTTGATTTGATTCAATGATGGATATAACATGGATCAATTCATAATCAGGTTCTTATTCTTTGGATAGACATTGTTCTAAATAATCTTTTTTAAGTTGACTTAAGTATAGCATTCTATGAACTATTTGATATTTGAAATAAATACTGTAATCTTTGGAATTCATGATGATAATAATTGAATAGAAAATACAAATTATTTAATTTTAATACTGTTAGATTGATATAAATACTCATAATTCTTATTTTGAATAATGTTATCTAATCCAATTACCAAATATTTAAGAGATTTCAATCCTGACTTATTTCAATTGAATACAATCTTCATCAATAGGAGTATATAATTCAACACAATGTCCAGCATTATCACAATTAATATGATAGACATTAAAATTCCCTTTTGGTTCAATTATACTCACCCATTTCCAAGGATCTTCATCTCCATTAGTAAAAATTATATTATCTATATCAAGATCAAATCCTCCAAAATATGTATTTCCTCTATCTTCATCTGGCCATAATTTTAAATCATCACCAAAGATATCTTTACAATATTATTTATAAAATTCTATATCTAATCTACTCGATCTTAATGAATCTTCACTTGGTGCTGTTTACCACCATCCAACTTCAGTACAACATTGATATTTCCATTATCTAGAAGACCTTAAATTCTATTCATTATAAATATCATCTCTCAAATAAAATGATCCATATGATTCTGGATTATCTTCAACTAATGCTCTCTCTATAAAATAATCCATCTACTCTTCTATTGTCTTTCCCATCAAATCATTACATAATCTACTTCTACCACCATATTAAACTTTCAAAATGATAGCATCTGTAAAATAAAATAAGAATTCCTCTTCTGTTAATCTCTCTGCTTTTAATCTACTCCTTACACTTTCTAAATTCTCTTCTGCATAATTATTTAGTCCTTTTAAATTATCTACACATTCTTAATCAGATTTCTATGCACTCAACTTTACTTATGTATCAAACTTTGGAAAATCTGTTTAAATCTAAACTACTGCAGATGATGCTAAAGCTCCTACTACTAAATGAGGGTATTAATATCTGTACCAAGCAGCCATTGCACCAGGATATGATCCTCCTATTGCTATCCAAGGATGATTTTGCTTTACACCAAATAATCTATTTTACACAATATATAATTAAAAGTAAGCCAAATCATCTAATGCTTATCTTATACCCAAATATTTTAGATTCTCTATTTTTAATGCATCATCTCCAAATGGCATACTTTTACCATAAAATCTATGTTCCAATACTACTATCAATGCTTTATGAGTCTATGCTAATTCAACTGGAAACAATCTTTCCTTTCTTATTCCTGGACCTATTTCAATTTATAATACAAATTACATGTATATTCTCCACAAATCCAAAATATTACTGCTCCTCCCTCTACTTAAAAATATTCCTCTACTGTCCAATATCTCTATCTAAATGTCTATTTATTAGTTCTATCATAATGATCAATCAATTATTATTCAAACCAACGTTCAGTCTATATGTAACTATTAACTACAAAAATTAAGATGTATAATAAAAATGACATCTTATTCATTGTTATTAATTTTTACTTTATTAACTAATTTTTATGGTTATGAGAAAAATAGGTCCTTATCCTAAATATTAATTTAAATATACTCAAGATGATTACCAATATAATTTGCAATATAAGAAATCAGCTTAAACACTGAAAAAAATTGATCCTCATTAATTATAAGAATTTTATATTGAAATAACTCCTACAACTGTCTAATAAGTAACTGATGAATTAAGCTTATCTATTCTCCAAGGTATTGATCAAGAAAAAGATCTTATTTATGTCCGTTTTGCTGATACTGGTGGACATTGTATTGACCTTAAAAATATGCGCTTGATCAATACTCTTAATGGAAAATCAAGACAGATATATTATGAAGTACCACAAGGCATAACATTGATTAGATTAAATAATAAAGCTTAAATTTCACCATAAATCTCTAGCTCTAAGTTAACTTATACATAATTCCATTGGTTTGAAATGAATAATTCCAAATTTAGACCTTTGTAATTATCTATCAGTGATACTATTGAAAACTTCTATCAAAATGCTTGCTAGACTGGTATCTGTATCTATGAATTTACTTGGCAATAACATAGATTCATTGTTGATCTTAAACAAAACACTCTGGAAAATACAAATACATTAACAATCAATCATATTTAAAGAAGAAACATTGAAAAGCCTTATTAAGAAGTCCCAAAAAAACCAATTAGTAGAGGAGCCTTAAAAGAAATTGTTTGGTAATATCAATTATAACCAAAATCATATGAATGGAATACTTATGATTAAGAAAATACAGATACTCTAGAAAAAGCATATTAAAAATATTGTCAAAACTCAAAAAAAGCAAACACTTTAAATGTAATAAGAAACACTTCTAAATATTACATAGACTTTGATAAGATGATTGAATATAATTTATTTACTAAAGAATCACGATTAATACGTAGATTTCTTTAAGAAGGTTGATTAATTATAGATACTTATAAAATAGCTTTAAATATATAAGTTCATATTAATATTAAACATATTCGTTAATATAATGTCAAAGAATTAAGAGAAACTAAAAAAGGAATTACTAGAATAAGTCAGTAGGGATGTTTAAAATACCTAAGACCCTTAGAAAGAGGCATTTAAATTAGTTTAGAATGCAAATGAAACCTTTAAATAATTTGAATCTGCTCTCAAAAAACCTTTAGATGATGAAATGTTAAAATAAAGAGGTTTACAAAAAAAGAATGTGTAGTTTGCTGATACAATAAAAACTTCAGCAGAAATAGATAGATCAAAATCAGTTGAAAACAAAAAAGAAGAGAAGCCAATTCTATAACCATAATTTAAGTAAAATGAAACTAAAGTAATTGTACCAGAACGTTAGAGTAGAGTGCAAAAGAAGGAAAATAAGATAGAAAAGCCAATTTAAAAAATGAATCCTAAATAAGAGAAATCTACAACATTAATTACAGAAAAAAAACAATAAGCTAAGGAGAATTAGGATTAAAACAAAAGTAATTAATAATAAGATTAATTTTAAAAACAATAAGCAATTATAAATCAATAATAAATTTAAGATAGAGAAAAAGCAAATTAAGGTCAGAAGTAAGTATTATCAGAGAGTGAATCTTCAAGTGGTTATGATGATGCAAGAAGAGAGAAAGGAAATCATAGTCATTCTTGTAGAAAACACTCTAAAGAGAGAGAGATAGCTAATAGATATGAGGAGATAATAATAAAAAATTAAGAATCAGCATAATAATTATAAATGTAATTGAATGAGTAGAATATTGAAAAAACAAAATTAATTACAGAAAATACAAAGTTAACTAGTTTAAATGATATGTTTTAATAAGAAATAAGAAATTTGAATAAATAATTAAGCTAATCAAAATAGTAAATTGAATCTTTGGATAAATAATTATATGATTTAAAACAAGCCTCTAGATCAGAACTGTTGATTGTAAAAGATTAATTATAAGAGTAAAAATTTTAGTGTGCTGAATTGGAAAATAGAAATAGTTATTTAAATAAAGCTAAAGATACATTTGAGTAAAATTTAAAATAGTTTGAAGCAGAAGTTGGTAGGTTGTAGAAAGTTAATCTTTAATAAACTTAGGTAGCAGCTTAAGATAAGTTGGCTATCTTAGAAAAAGATGGTACGATAGAAAGATTATAAAAATTGAATCATTAATTGAGTGTAGATTTAAATCAAATAAATACATTGTATAAGGAAGTTAATGAAAAGCATAAGAGTTTATTGGCTGCTTATAACAGTTTAGAGAATCAGAAAATAACAATAGAGAATGATTTAGAGTTTAGAAAAAAAGATTAACAAGATCATTTGAGTAGTTTAAAAGAGAAGATCTAAAAGTTAACTAATTAAAAGACTGTATATGATGAAGAAATGTCAAAAATGCAACAAGTTACTTAAGAGGCTAAGGCAGAAAGAGATTAGTTTAAATTATAATATGAATAGATGAAGGTATTATGTTCAGAATCTGAGGAATTGAGAAAGAGATTAAAACTTAGAGAAGTAGAAAATGAATAATTGTAATGTGAGAATGATAAACTTAAATGGAAAGTAAGGAAGGATCCTAATGGAATTCTGTCTGATCTTAAAATAATGAAATTGTAAGCAGAAGATCCAAATGCTAAAGTATCGATGGAATAATTATCGAAGTTGGACAATCAAGTTAGATAATTGTAGGAAGAGAATAATAGGTATGATTGCTAAATTAAATTTTAGGTTAACTGCAGAAAATAAATAATTAACTAAATAGATCTAATAGACTGAGTTATATGTTTAAGAAGTTAAATCTATGTTTGATAGAGAAAGGTCATTTCTTGAAGAAAAGCTATTTCATAAAGATAAGGAAATTAATGAAATGATCATACGACATCGACATGAAATGGCTGATATTGAAAATAAATATCAAGATCTTTAAAGAAGATAAGACAATGAAAATAAGACAAGATAAACCCATCAAAATTATTAATAATAATCATACTCCTAGTATAATTAACCTAGTGTAGCTTAGCAATCTAGTTCTAAGGTCTCACCATATAATGTGCCTTAATTATAAGCTAAAATAAAATCTTATATTTGATAACTTAAGTATTATTTAAATGATTTATATTTATATATTTGCTGACACTCTTTTGATACTCTTATTTAATTTAATACGAAATTGCCACAAAAATCAAAATGAATCCAAGAATCTAGAAATAATTAAAAAAAGGATTAAATTTTATTGTGTTAATTAATGGAGAAAAAAATTGAACCATTAAATTTGGGAGTATATCATTTTAGAATAATACATTTACAATTTACTAAAAAATTAAAACAAATGAGAAGAAGAATTATTTGAAATCCGCAAATTACTGAAAAAAGTTTTATTTTGATTTATTAATAAAGATTTTAAAGGCAAATTTATTTCCAGGGTAGAAAAATTATATTTAAGATTTAATATATNTTATAACAGTTTAGAGAATCAGAAAATAACAATAGAGAATGATTTAGAGTTTAGAAAAAAAGATTAACAAGATCATTTGAGTAGTTTAAAAGAGAAGATCTAAAAGTTAACTAATTAAAAGACTGTATATGATGAAGAAATGTCAAAAATGCAACAAGTTACTTAAGAGGCTAAGGCAGAAAGAGATTAGTTTAAATTATAATATGAATAGATGAAGGTATTATGTTCAGAATCTGAGGAATTGAGAAAGAGATTAAAACTTAGAGAAGTAGAAAATGAATAATTGTAATGTGAGAATGATAAACTTAAATGGAAAGTAAGGAAGGATCCTAATGGAATTCTGTCTGATCTTAAAATAATGAAATTGTAAGCAGAAGATCCAAATGCTAAAGTATCGATGGAATAATTATCGAAGTTGGACAATCAAGTTAGATAATTGTAGGAAGAGAATAATAGGTATGATTGCTAAATTAAATTTTAGGTTAACTGCAGAAAATAAATAATTAACTAAATAGATCTAATAGACTGAGTTATATGTTTAAGAAGTTAAATCTATGTTTGATAGAGAAAGGTCATTTCTTGAAGAAAAGCTATTTCATAAAGATAAGGAAATTAATGAAATGATCATACGACATCGACATGAAATGGCTGATATTGAAAATAAATATCAAGATCTTTAAAGAAGATAAGACAATGAAAATAAGACAAGATAAACCCATCAAAATTATTAATAATAATCATACTCCTAGTATAATTAACCTAGTGTAGCTTAGCAATCTAGTTCTAAGGTCTCACCATATAATGTGCCTTAATTATAAGCTAAAATAAAATCTTATATTTGATAACTTAAGTATTATTTAAATGATTTATATTTATATATTTGCTGACACTCTTTTGATACTCTTATTTAATTTAATACGAAATTGCCACAAAAATCAAAATGAATCCAAGAATCTAGAAATAATTAAAAAAAGGATTAAATTTTATTGTGTTAATTAATGGAGAAAAAAATTGAACCATTAAATTTGGGAGTATATCATTTTAGAATAATACATTTACAATTTACTAAAAAATTAAAACAAATGAGAAGAAGAATTATTTGAAATCCGCAAATTACTGAAAAAAGTTTTATTTTGATTTATTAATAAAGATTTTAAAGGCAAATTTATTTCCAGGGTAGAAAAATTATATTTAAGATTTAATATATAAAATAAGTCAGTAAGATTCTTTTCATTTTAAAGCTTATTTGGAAGAAAATTAAATGATTTTGGAAATGGAAAAGTTCAGATAAAAAAATGACATAGACTTAAATGAAAATTTAGAAGATAAAAGTTATAATTGCTGGATGGATTAGGGTTTTCGCCTATGCATTAAATAATCTTAGCAGTCACAAGTAACAATAGTGATGGAACTCAAATCGTTTATATTAATAAAAAAGAAGTAACTTTTAATTATTCTATCACTAAATGTTTTTATACAAAGAGTTATAAACATTTGCAGAGATGAAATAATTAGTTTTGAAATTGATTCTCAATTATGTAAGCTTTTACTTTAAATAATATAAGCCCCAGCATTTATTGGGTGGTTTTAGTGGATATATGACAAAAGAGAAGACTGAAAAAGCTTTAGGCAAAGAAGAAAATAAGAAATTGGCCTTGATTTTAGGTGATCCTATGACGAATAAGTTAACAAGAAAAGATTTGGAGTAAGTGTAGATAATTTTGATGAGTTTTGAAATGAGACAAGTGTAAAATGACATTATAATAAATAGAAATCATTTTAATTTGAATTGTTTGTGATATTAGATTGGATGTGAGAGTGGTTTTTGTAGAGGAGAGTAAGAATGAAAGGGAAGATGAATAGAAATAATATTATGTTGGATAATATAATTATTAAAAGTATTCGTTTTTAAGAGAATTATTGATTTGGATTAATATTAATATATTATGAAGACAATCCTATTAGTATTGTTGGGTGTGTAGATCTTATTAGCATAGGATCCTTGGGTAACCCATTATACAGCATTTACATCAGCTGAAATAAATGATTTAGATGGTAATGATAAAAGAGTAATGATTAGGTTGGGTTGTAAAGAAAGCATTTAAGGGAAATACATTTAGTAAATGTGATAAAATAAGTTTGGTTGGTGGATATGGTGCATTTGGTAAAGGAGCTACAGCATTAAAATAATTAACACTTCCACCTCATTATAAATTAAAGATCAATATATAGTTATGGAAGTAATATTATTAAATAATTAAAATAATAGAATAGATAGTTGGGATAATGAAATAATGTATGTATTAGTTGATGGTTTCATATGGCAAGCAAAATGGCATTATTCTGAAGGAGCAAATTTATGTGGAGCAGCAAATGATTGGAAAGAAGCTTTTTATAATATAGAATTTGAGGTTCCACATAATTCACCAACAGTTAGCATAGTATTGACATCAAATTTAGATGAAGATGCATTGAATGTATAAATATTAATTTATAAATTATAATAGGAATCATGGGCATTTAGAGATTTCAAATTATCATTTTAGAGATGTCATCCAGAATGTTCAGTATGTAGTGATAATAAACCAGATAATTGTTTCTTTTGGACAAATGTAGCTACTAATTGGAATAAATAAATATCATTAGAAGGTTGGACTCTAGATGGAGAAGGAAAAGCAGAATCAAATGAATGTGCAGGAGTATAACTTTTTGGTGGATATGGTAAATTAGGTAGAAAAGCTAATTTATGGAAAAGATTTACAAATTTACCTCCTCATTATTAAGTGAAAGTGAAAGTTTAAATGTGGAAAATAGATTCTTGGGATAATGAATTATTTTTAATGGAAATTGATGATTAAGAGAAATTTAGATAAGCTTTTGCTTATAATGAAGGAGTAGATCTTTGTGGTGTTGATACAGGTGCAAAATAAGGTGAAGGATGGGCTGAAAAGATTGTTAATATTGAAATTAATGTTCCACATAAATTCCCTGAAGTTAAAGTGTTAATGAAATCAACTTTAGATGAACCACCTGAAAATGAATCATGGGGTGTAAGAGATTTCTAATTGTTTGCTGCTTAATGTTTCAAAGGTTGTTCAGGTTGTACTGGACCTGCTAAATCTGATTGTACATCATGTGGTTAAGGATTTGATTTAATTAATGGAGAATGTAAAGAAGGAAGTAATTTAATTTAATATTTTAA